TATAGGCTTAAATTAATCTGCATACCTCACATCGGTTTTGGAGAGTTCAACAGCTTGCGCTTTCTTATAATGGTGAAGAGGACCGATGAGAAGCATTTGAGGAGTGTAAGCCTCTGGGTTCACACTCCTTAACCCGCATGGCACTCTATAGATGCAACAATTGTTATGGTTAACCGAATAAGGCCATAAAAATTTGACCTCAGAGCAAGAACCCGGTCTATCCGTGGCAGTCATGGCCTTGACTACACGAATGTTAACGCCAACAGATAGGTTTTCGTTGATGACTTCTTTTTCTTGATCAGAAGTTAGCGGCGGTTCATTGGAGATATCGTTTGTTGCTTGGGATCCTTCTTTAAGATTCACGTTGACTAGCTGGTTGTTGTACAAGTAATGAGTCAATATTCATGTTTACATTTAAACTATCTAACAAAATCAAAATATGTGATAATCATGACGAAGTAATAAATTATCAACAATGTGTGTGTAAGTTTAAGGTTTTACGAGTTAGACATTTTTATGGTACTCCTAACCAAACTAGGTTCTATATTTATTTCTTTTACAAAAGGGTTTTATACTTTATTATGAACAAAGCCTTCCATATATATATATGTGTATAATCAATTTGGATACATATTGTACTTGGCTCCTAATTTAATCTATTGAGTATTAACATCATGATGATTTTCACAAGTTTTGTAAGACTTTAAATTATATATTTACGTAAACAAAAGGGGGTTTCTATCATGATTAGCTCAGTCATTAGTTTTAAAATTTTACTGGTCACACAATTCTATTTTAGTTATATGATATCTAAGATAGATATTGAGATTTTCTTATTTATATAATCCGTAAAATAAAATTTCAAAATGCAAGTAATAGATCAATATGGATGAAAAGCCTAAGAGAAACAATAAGATAAAATAATAAAAGGTAGAAGAAGAAGATGTTATTGTTTGAATAAAGAAATATATGAGATAAGATAAAGGAAGTTTTGGAATTCTCATCGAACCTTGGCCATGTTTGCTGAAACATGGAATTTGATTAGATCTTATTAGAAGCCCTAAGCCTTTGCTTCTATATATATGGAACTTACACGAATAAGTTGATTTTTTTTCCAACAAGTTGAATTTATATCTCTCAAAAAGAGAAAGAAATGATGTGAATATAAAGCTATTTAATTTGGAGCATTTTTATATTTGCCTATGACTTTACGCAATTCATCCCAACTTTTTTTCAACCTTTATTGAATTTTATTTTATTTAAGCTTTGGGCAAAGAATTATGCCGAGTCCAACGCGGAACTCGTTGGACCATTGAAAATTCACACACAAGTTTCTCACGTTTTCTCAATAGACAATAGTTACAAGAATCAACCCTAATGTTGGCCTTTATTCACAGGCCCTGAAATTTAAAGGATTACAACATTTTTATTGTAAGTCTTGATAAAATAATTCTTTTCAAAAGTTTGAGGATCATACGATTTCTGTATATTACCTCAAAATTTGAAAATGAAAGTGAATGTTTCATTAGGCTTTCACCATTACCATTTCTAGATATAGTCCCCATGAGACTTTTTTCTATAAGTATTTTTGTAGCAACCAGTGACCGAAGTTGCGAACTTCTGAAAATCTAGGAGAGGGAACAAATATCTTTATTGTATTTTACACTGTTGCAAGCGAAGCTCTGGTCAATGCTGATACAAAAATATTGAACGTTCAATTATTAATTACAAATCAAGAATACTATTACATTCATAACATTTCAATTTATTTTCCAAACTAGCTATACGAAGTGAGTAAGATAATTAAAGAGAAAAACAAAGTTAAATATAGTTGTGTGGAAAAAAAAAAGTTTTGTTTCTTCCTCCGGACGGAAGCAATTATTAAATATGTGTAATTAAATAAGAGAAGATTTATAAGAACAATGAAATAATTCGTTTCTTCCAGTGGCAAGAACGTATCTACAAGTCCCGGGAAGGAGGGGGTGGAAGCAGGGACTTAGTGGGATCATTGTCGTCCTGCGTCACTTGGAGAAGGGAAGTCACTGTCCCAATCAAAGTCAAGACCAGAATTATAACTGCTGCGATGGTCGCAGTTCCAGTCCACAGGTCTTTGAAGTAGACTCGCCGGAGAGTGGCGAAGGATCTGTTGAGACGGTTGTCGCAGTATTTTTCAAGTCTCTCGGCTATATCGTAATAGTAAGAGCCATTATCAGCGAGCCCTAAGCACATCTTGTTCACCATATTCACCACCGATTCGGAATGTCCCAACAAATTCTTTATAACCCCTTTTTAGGATGTAATTGAAAGCATTAGTTTTCGAAAATGAAAACATTGTAGCCAATTAAAAAAAAAAGAGTATGATGTTCCTTATATAAAAAAAGCGAAATATTTTATTTTCCCTACATTTAATTAAGAAAACTAAATCTATATATGTCGTCAAAAATCTATATATAAAAAAGTTGTTTGAGCGGTTTGTATAAACACCAACAAAATCTATGAAAACACTAGACTGGGCATTCTTAGGATTTATATGCGCAATGCTTATCTATCATGTATGAGCGTAGTTGAAACTTTTTAAAATGCAATATATATATATACCTTTGTTGACGAGTAATTCAACGTCTTGCTCGGTGTTGATGAGGAAGCCCAAGAAAGTGATGTAGTGACAAACATAGGCTGCGTAAGTATAGTGACACTGCTCTAGCGCCATTATGTTCCTCCACATCCTTTCCGTGTGACCACGTGCTGTGAAGCAAGGCATTGTCAAAACACCACGTTCGAATTTGATCACAAAAGATGTGCCCCTCTCTACTTTATGCCCTACAATATCAACCCCTGCACTGTCTAGCTCGTCTGCGTTGTGAAGATTTTTTATTAGGAACTTCTTCATACGCTGTTCCTTAATATGATCTTCTTTTGTCAGACCAAGCTTCTCAACACGGACACACCGAAACATATCTGTAATATGAAGGAATTTCACTTCTGGTTTGATCCTATTTTTGTAGCCATAGTGTCCAAGGATAAAGTCACGGAACGTTATGTTGCTCCCAATCTTTATGAAGAAGGGTCCAAAGAGATTTTCTAAAAGGGAAAATGGAAGTTGGTTCTCAAGCAAGAGTAGGTCTTCAAAGATAGTGTCTCGGTGGCACGGCTGGTCGAAAAGAAAATCTCCTGTTTTGTCGATGTATCTTGGTCCAATCTGCTTTAAAAACATTAGTATGAACACCGAGTCAATGAGTATCATTTCAACAAAGTCTTCAGAGCTGATCCAGTCCGTTGATTCTGCGTAGCATGCTCTTACGATTTGCTCATCTCTTATGATGATTCTTCTGAACTCCTCGACTGTTTGATTCCCATACATAATTGCAAAATTCTCAAGGTACTTGTTCTTGTGCTGCTCCATCTTCTCATATTCCAAATGCTTGGGGAAAGTTCAGAAGCAACAATATGGATAATTAAGAGCATGATTAATCCGAAGTTCTTCTTAATGGAAGTTAATAAACAGTTTCTTAACTTCCGGTAAGAATCCCGGGTTAATCATGGTCTAAGCTATGAGTGGGATTAGGTAAAATACATCAAAGTTTCTCAAACCGACGACACTAAACCTAAATTTTATTTTTAAACCCAACTAATAATATTTGTATAGCTCAATAATAAAACCCTATACCCATAGGCCATATATATGCTACCTCGAATATTTCTTAGAGAGCTCCATAATTTTAGGTTTCTTAGAGAGAGGACCGATGAGAACCATTTGAGGAGTGTAAGCGTCTGGTTTCACATTTCGTAGTCGGCATGGCACTCTATAGATGCAACAATATTTATGATTAGCCGAATAAGGCCATAAAAAGCGGAACTCAGAGGCAGACATGACCAAAGAATCGGGTCTATCCGGGTCATTAATCATGGCCGTGACTAAAGGAAAGTAGTTAGCGCCATTGGATCCTGTTTCATTGATGCGTTCTTTTTCTTGATCCGCAATTGGCTTAGGTTCATTGAAAGTAGCATTTGTTTCTTGTAAGCCATCTTCCAGATCCACCTCGAGAGGTTGCTTGTCCTACGAGTAAGCAGCAAGTAGATGTCTATATATCACATATTTCAAATTATATTGAACTTCCATGTTTATATGATGGTATAATATAAATGCAAAAATTGTGGCTTTTAGAAAATATTCGTAAACGTTTTGATTATCTGCTATATTATTTTGATATTTCGGCTAAGGAGTAAACACTTGATTTTTTTTTTTAAAAAATCAATATTTTTGTGGTTCCAATAAAATGAATATTTAACACAAAAATCATATTGATATTTATCTAATGCTGAGATTTTGAGAATGTTTTAAATGTGTTTATAACTAAATTATGTTTAGATTCTGTATAAGATATTCTTTATTCATTTAATATATTATCTTTGTTATTTAATGGTCCACCATTTTGGTTCACAGTATGTCCAAATTTTATATTACCATATTAAGTTATGTACATAATTATCATATATCAGTGGTAATAGTAATATTTTTTTTTGTAATAAATACAACGACTGAAATTTGGTTTTAAATAGAATTCTAGATTAATAGAATAAATTTTCTTTTCTTTTTTTTTTGCGAGTACTACGATAAAGACACAAAACAAAATAAGAAATGATAGAAGGCTGGAATTTTTAACGATGATAATATATTAAATGAATAAATATATGAAGTTTTAGTTCTCTCCGAACCTTGGTCATGTTTGGTGGAGAAAGCAATTCGATTAAAAGCCCTAAGCCGTTAATGCTTCTCTTGTCCTTCTTAATTAGTCGTGCATGGGTTATTAGGATATATATGCTGTGTTTATAAAGGATGATAGAGAATAAATGACGTGAATATGAAGCTACTTTTTTGGGTGTAAATATGAAGCTACTTCTTTAGTAAACAAAGAACATGAAGCTTTTTAATTTGGAGCATTTTTATATAGCGTCTAACTTTAGGCAATTCATGCAAACATTTTTCTTCCTTTATCTGATTTTATCTTATTTTAAACTTTGGGCAAAGTATTATGCTGCAGAAATCTTTAAATCCAAACGAGTTCCTCGTTGTGGCCATCCAATCATTCCTACATAAGTTTCTTCTTTTTCTCAATAAATACGGGACACTCCATCATAATGTTGTGCCCTATGGCTTTCTTCATTTTGATTGGATCTAAATTAGTCCAAAACGATGGTTAATGTTCATGTCACATATACATAATATCTGCGCGTTTAATGGGGATATCTTTATTGCAAACCCTAAAGGATTTTATGATGTTGTAACTCTTGTTGTTATTGTTTCGGAGCGTTTCTTTATATAAAAAAAACATCAATACACTGATAAATATTCGAGAGTTTTACAAAAGTAGCGTTCAGAATTAATTTTGAATAAGCAATAGAAATAAACAAATATACTAGTGTAGTTTCTTGTGTAGCAATAAATAGTCTAGGGTCGGTTTTTAGGACAAAATTCGAGGCGGTAGAAATTTAGTCAAACGAAATTAGTGTTAAACGTTAAGATTAGAAGTCACAAACGGTCATAAAATAGGTTCGTAACGATCGCTGATGACGTATTTTCAGTCGCCGGTTACCGAATATCTAGTCTTCCAAGTTAGATATGGGGTGCTTCCAAAAATCTAGGAGTGCAATCGAATATCTTAACTGTATTTTAAACTTTTGTTAGCGAGGTCAATGCTGATAACAAAATATTGAGCGTTCTATTATAAATTACAAATCAAGAATACAAGTACATCCATAATTTTTCAGTTTATTTTCCAAATTCG